CTGTTTCAGGTTATTATTATTATTATTATTATTATTATTATTATTTTATATGCCACCATCTGACTGGCCACTCTGGGCAGCTTCCGCCATTTATAAAAGCATAGTAAAAATGAAACCTTAAAAATCTTCCCCAAACATGGCTGCCTTCAAATGTCTTCTAAAAGTTTTGTAGTTCTTTATATCCTTGTCATCTGACAGGAGGACATTGCCCAGGGAGGGTGCCACTACTGAGAAGGCCCTTTGCCTGGTTCCCTGTAAGCTTGCTTCTCTCAGTGAGGGAACCAGCAGAAAACCCTCGGCGCTGGACCTCAGTGTCCAGGCTGAATGATGGGGGTGGAGACGCTCCTTCAGGTACACTGGGCCAAGGCCACTTAGGACTTTAAAGGTCAGCACCGACACTTTGAATTGTGCTCGGAAACGTACTGGGAGCCAATACAGTATAGGTCTTTCCACAAGCACATCTCCAGTGTCCCCTACCTTATAAAAAGCATTAATCAGAATAGCAGTTTGCAGAACCCACTAAGGGAGATAACAACACAATAAAATTCAAAACAGTAACAACCAATTGCCCATTTATTTAAAATCCAATTCAAACTATTTAGTTTAATTAATTCAACAAAATTGATGAATGTGATCAAGTGACACCAAAGTTTTGACAGCTGATAGTCATTTACACCTCAGTGACCCCCCTGCTGCCCCCTTTTCTCTTATCGCCACTCCTACCCTAGGGAATCCCACTGCCCCCCCAGGGGGTCGTACTGCCCACTTTGGGAGCCACTGAGCAAAGGAATCAGTTAATCCCCGGGCGGTGAAGTTGCTACAGCCAGAGGCCTCAGGTTCTTCCTCTTTTTACATTCTTCCAAGGGGGTGGGAAGGGGCTGAATCAAAAACAAGACCATCAAGGACAAAGTCATCCTCTGTGTTGCACTGATAAAAAGGGGGGAGAGAATATTTAATCATCACGGGCAAAGTCCTTTCTGTTTGTGATTATATGTTGCTGCCATCTCCAGGCCCCACTGCAAACGCCTTAATTGAGTCTCCCTTGATGCAGAATTACCTGGAAAGAGGCAGGCAAGCAGGCAAGATGCCAGCCCTTGGCAGCCCTGCCTTGAACAGCCCAGGCGCTCAGCACTCCTCCCTCCCTCCCTCCCTCCCTCCCTCTCCCACACACACTTCCCTCCCAGTTTTGGAACTTGAGATTGTCACCAAACTTCCCCTCCGGGCAGTGGGCGTGCAAGTATCAGGCCTTCCAGATTTGGAGAAATGACTGTTCTGCGATTGATTTCTCACCAACTTTCATGGGCTGGATTGCCAACTCTTCAGGTGGCCTCCAACAGGAAGGCTGTTCAGGCACTGAGGAGGGACAGTTTAGTTGATGGGTCGGCAAACTAAGGCCCACAGGCCGGATCAGGCCCAGTTGCATTCTAGATCCGGCCCGCGGACAGTCTGGGAATCGCCGCGTGGCTCACCAGCGCTTGGATCGCCAGCGCACACGTTCTTTCCCTCTCCCTCGCAGGGCAGCGCTTTTCTCCTCAGGGACGGAGCAATCTTGTCCCACGCTGGGCGCCATCGACGGCAGGAGTCGCCTGCCTGCCTGAGCAGGGCGGCGCTGTGAAGGGGGCATGTGACACCGGCTGCTGCTGCGTTTTCATCCTGGTCCTCCTCCCCCAGTCCGCCCTTCCTTCCTGCTCCGTGCCCCTTCTCCGTGCCGCTTCCTTGCGCACTTTCTTTGTCGCGGGTTGGCAGGTGGCTCTGTCTTCTTCTCCGCGGTGCCTCTCAAGAAGCAGCAGCAGCAGGTGGTGGGTAAAAGCTGCGGCGACGCCCCGGCTCCCCTGCCTCTGTCCGCTGCTCCTCCAGCGGGGCTGTGCTTCTGTCTTTGCTGGCCAGCGCAGCCTCCTCCCCGCCGCAGCGCCTGGCTGGCTGGAGAAGCCCAACTGTGGCAATTGGGAGGACAACTGGGACAGGCAAAGTGAAATATCTTCAGGTCTCTTTGCGGGCAGGCGAAAATCATTCTCTCCTTTTCCAAAAAATATAGTCCGGCCCCCTACAAGGTCTGAGGGACAGTGGACTGGCCCCCTGCTGAAAAAGTTTGCTGACCCCTGGTTTAGTTAGAGGTGCAACTAAACATGAAACTACATGGAGCTTATTGAATTTTCAGGAACCTTAATGACTGGTAGAATCCGTGACCAGGGAGAAGAGTTGATGGAGGAAGATTGGAAGAAATTTAAAGACTATCTTCAGAAACATTGCAAAATTAAAGAATGTTAGAGTGAGGTTGGACTGAAAATAAGCGGTTTCCAGCTGTACAGGTTAAAGTTAATGATAGACTAAGATTAAAGATTAGGATTAAAGATGTTTTAAAAAATGGAAATTTGACATTAAGAGGAAAAATTTTAACGTTATATGATACTAAGACCAAAGATCAGGTTTAAAGAAGTTGAAGTTATATATTTCAATATCTTATTAAAGCTAAAGATTGGGATTAAAAAAGTGGAAAAGAAATTGCTGGACAAACAATTTGGATTGGAATACAAAAGAGGGAGGTATGAGGAAGTCCAGAAAATAAGTAACTAAAAACGGAAATGGAAAAGAGATATTGTTTTTAATTGTTATGTTTTTTGTTCTTTTATTGTTGAATCTTGCTTTTTTGTGTTTTTGTTATATGTATTGTGTATGTTTTTCTTTTCTTTCTTTGTTGTTCAAAACTTTAATAAAAATTATTTTTTTAAAAAAAAAGAATTTTCAGGAACCTTAAGGTAGGGCCCCTTAAAAAGCAACCACAGCTATTTAAAAGGTAGACATTTGCAGTCCACAAGCCAAGAGATCTGTGCAGGATGAAAGGGCCACCAGGATGTCATGAGGTCTGTCCTGTGTTGCTTCCAAGACAGGGAAGCCCTTGCAAAGGCAACACCCAGCTGGGCTGGCTCTCCCTCCCAGACCCTCCAAGGCCAGGGATGTCTCTGATTTAGAGAAGCTGTCTGGTTTCTGATGTGATTCCAGAATGTCCCACTTTCCCTTAGGATGACCCTATTTTCTTTGGAGAAATATTGAAGGGCATGGAATTATCCAACCCCCAAGTCATTTGAAGGCAATCCTAAATAGGGAAGGGTTAAAAAAAAAAAAAGGTTAATGTTTTATTATTTTATATACGTTGGAAGCTGCCCAGAGTGGCCGGGTCAACCCAGTAAGATGTTCGGGATATAAATAGTAAAATTATGGAATGGGACACCTCTATTTTCGTTGGAGGGGATGCACTCCCTGACCAGCTTTTCAAGGTGCATTCAGCAGGCAGGATGAAAGGAGGGGCTAGTGGAGCTGAAAGCATCCCCTCCCTTTGTCCCCCTTGAATAGCTCTGTGGCATCAGCCCAGGAAGGGTCACCTACCAGCCAGCTGCCCCCAGCCAGAAGGAGGCAGAGCAGGGCCAAGGCCACTATCCCCCTGGTCCTAGGACATTGTGCAGCTGCTGGTGGAACTGGATCCAGAGGAGGGGTGAGCAGAGGGTTAGGAACAATCCCAAGACTGACCTGAATTGAGCCCATTTGGTTTAACATTCATTTATGTGTGATGTGGGACGCGGGTGGTGCTGTGGGTTAAACCACAGAGCCTAGGACTTGCCGATCAGAAGGTCGGCGGTTCGAATCCCCGTGATGCGGTGAGCTTCCGTTGCTCAGTCCCTGCTCCTGCCCACCTAGCAGTTCTAAAGCACGTCAAAGTGCAAGTAGATAAATAGGTACCACTCCAGCGGTAAGATAAATGGCATTTCCATGTGCTGCTCTGGTTCACTAGTCATGCTGGCCACATGACCCAGAAGCTGTACGCCGGCTCGCTCGGCCAATAAAGCAAGATGAGCGCCGCAACCCCAGAGTCGGCCACGACTGGACCTAATGGTCAGGGGTCCCTTTACCTTTACCTTTATGTGGGATGTAATCCATTGGGACATTCCTTGTTTCCCTAGAGTGGACACAGTGTTACTCCAGCCAAGGTAGAATTTCCTGTTCCACTTGGTCTGGAGCATCCTCCCTCTGCATGCAACCAGCTAGGTGGGCATGACCCTTGCAGACTCCACAAAAGGTCCAGTCACGCAGCCATCCTCCTCTTTTGATGCCATTTCTTCTCTTGGACAGCAGCACATGGGCCCATCCTTACAAGGATGTCAGCCACACTGTATCTGTAACTACAAGCTAAAGCCTGCCTTCAGGGATCCAACTGTGAAATTTACTCAAATGTGAGTGAATTTTTCATTTCTTATAAGGAAGACTCTTGTGTCTTTATTCTTTTAGGAGGGAATCAAAGGGGAATATACTGGACATGCCAGATTGGATTGCTTAACTAAAGAGATTCAAATGAATCTGCAACTAGCTTCTTGCTGTGTAAAGGGGAATGAGCTCCGCTATATATGTATGACTCACTAGCGTGATCGAGGAAGGATAATATTTAATCAGTATATCCTCTCCTACTATCCACAACATTCCCACAATTTGTTCAAGAGAGAGGGGAGAAAGGAGGTTCGGGTTTGCATAAGAAGAATAAGAAGAAGAGTTTGGATTTGATATCCCGCTTTACCACTACCCGAAGGAGTCTCAAAGCGGCTAACATTCTCCTTTCCCTTCCTCCCCCACAACAAACACTCTGTGAGGTGAGTGGGGCTGAGAGACTTCAGAGAAGTGTGACTAGCCCAGGGTCACCCAGCAGCTGCAGGTGGAGGAGCGGAGACGTGAACCCGGTTCACCAGATTACGAGTCCGCTGCTCTTAACCACTACACCACATTGGCTCATAACATTAGTACGTGCTAATTTAGAGAGAGAGATGCAAATTTAGAAATATTTATTTTATTTATTGCATTTATACCACTGGTTAGGTAGGTTAGGATGAGATCATTTTTTATTATTTTCCTATTTATTAAATTGATATACAGTCCTTCCTCTGTAGATCTCAGAGTGGTTCACAGCATAAAAATGCAAGATAAAAACACAAAATACTTAATGAGAACAAAAAGTCAGATGGATAGCTCAGTTGGTAGAACACGAGACTCTTAATCTCAGGGTCCTGGGTTCGAGCCCCCTGTTGGGTGAAAGATCCCTGCACTGCAGGGGGCTGGACTAGATGACCCTTGTGTGGTCCCTTCCAGCTCTACAATTCTGTGAAGAACAAGAATAAACAAACCAACCACACACCCAGACCCGCCTCCCAAGGTCACCCAGTAAGAGCTTCATGGCCAAGTAGGTACTCTGTTGATTATTATTATTTATTTATTCCATTTTTATACCACCTTTTTTCTCCAAGGACCTCAGGGCGGTGTACATGCCTCTCCCCCTCTTCATGCAATCTTCACAACAACCCTGTGAGGTGAGCTAGGCCAAGAGAAGCAGCGCCTGGCCCAAGCTCACCCACCCAGGGAGCTTCATGGCTGGGGAGGGACTGGAACTCTGGGGTCTCCCAGGTCCAGTCCGGCCCTCCAACCACCACACCAAAGGCTCCTGGACGTTGCTCACAGGAAAACAGGGGGCAGCAGTTTGGCTCCTCATCCCCCCACCCCACCCATCAAAATGGGCAAGGAAAAGACATCATTCGGGGCATTCTGGGGAAATAAAAGGGGAGTCCCAGGAACCAGCACTGTGGTGCTGATAAGAACACAAGTAGCCGCAAACTAAAATGGTGCTTCAGAGGAAGCGAACAAGCAAAATACCAACAGGGAATGAAAATGGATGTGATTGTGAATAATGAAAACCTCTGTGATTTTAATGAATAAACAATGAAAGGAAAGAAGTCATCAATAACGAAATGAACCGAGGAACAAGCCCAGTGCGGGCCCCTCCCTCTCTCTCTCCCAGAGCCTGTCATTCACCAGGGTGGCATCTCTTTGAAGGAGCCTCCTCCAAACCCTTCGCTCTTTTCAGTGCCCCATATTTGCTCACTATGGGGTCAGCAACAGGGAGGAAGGAACCACTGCATTGTGCTATTCTGGGTGCTGTGGGATGCTGGCAGTGAGTGTGTGTGTAAGCAGGGGGGGGGGATCTCTTGGATGAATCAGCAGAGGAAAAGACACTGAATTTTAGTGAAATGTGAGGTTATTTTAAAACTACATACTGTACTGTACATGGTTTTTGCAACATGCAAAGGCCCAGAGCCCATGCAGTCAATTTTGAAAGAACCCCAGAGCTAAGTGTGGCTTTGAATGCATATCCATGAACACCCTTTGGGGGGAGGGTGCCAGCCCCCTTTGACGGGAAGAGTATCACCAACAACACCAATGTGGATGGATTTTTTCTGTGCCTTTTGATAACTACCTGATAGAAGCTGAGCAGTTAAGGTGCCCCCTACCCCTGCCTCTCTTGGTTTTCTTCCTCCCGGGCACTTGTTAAAGCTGCAGGCACTTTGGTGGAGAAAACAAAACAGCTAGGCAGCTGTTGAGAATGAGACAAGGAAAAGACACTGTGGGAGTTTATTGGTCCAACTTTAGTTTGCTGGTGCAGAAATTAAAATGGGATCTGAATTCCCCAACAGTTGCAGCCCTTTTTAGGGAAGGACTGAATAATGAGATTTTAGACCAATTGGCCCAAATGCCAGAACCTAGTTCCTTGGACTCTCTGGTCCGAACGTGCCTGCAATTGAGCCTACGCATGGAACGGAGGGCTAGTGAAAAGAAGGAACCATGGCGACCACGGTGGCGGGAAAAGAATATTATCGAAAGTACAGAGAGCAGAGCGGGCAACGTGCCGGGACGAGAGCGGCCAGAGCCCATGGAATTAGGGGCAGCCAGACCCCTCCCAGTTACTACCTCTTCCATGGTAAGAGGAAATGCAGGGAAAGGAAGAGAAACAAGGCGTTGCTTTGTCTGTGGAAAACCAGGGCATTTAGCACGACAATGTCACAATCGTAAAGGATGGGAGTCTCTATTTGGAGCAGACATGAGAGAAGACAATTGCCCGAAAGAACTGCATCAGGGAAACGAATGTCCCCGGCTGGAAATGGGAGCTTGCAGCCGGGTGGAGAAGCAATAGAAGGCTCTCACGCGGAACCACCTATCCCAGGAATAACGTTGAAGGTGCAACTACAACTACCCAATGGACATAGCATCCAGGTAGAGGCGTTGTTAGACTCAGGAGCGTCAGCAGATTTCATAGACCAGAAATTGGTACAGGAACACAAAATCGCTTTGTTACCTTTGAGTTTCCCACTGCGAGTGAAAACAATCGACGGCAGACTGCTACTTTCAGGAGAAGTGACTTATGAGACTCCACCAATGAGAATGGATATGGGTCATCACTCAGAGACCAGGGCATTTCATGTGACCAAATTAGCTGGGCACCCAATGGTGCTGGGCATGAGTTGGCTCAATCGTCATAATCTGGTGATTGCCTGGCATCAAAGGTCTTTGGTTTTTGGTTCGATATATTGTATGACACATTGTTTGGGGCAAAAGGGAAAAATCTTGGTGGAAGTAATGGGAACAGAGGTAGAAGGGAAGTTGATGGGGAATGAAAGTGAGATTCCATCACAATATATGGCTTATCAGGATGTTTTTTGTGAAAAAGAAGCAGATAAACTTCCACCACATAGGCCCTAGGATTGCAAGATAGATCTAGTCCCTGGGGCACAGTTGCCACCAAGCAAGATATATGCCATGTCGGAAGTAGAATCTGCAGCATTGAGGGAGTTCCTGCAAAAGAATTTGCAGAGAGGTTTTATTAGAGAGTCCACGGCCTCTGGGGGTGCTCCCGTCTTTTTTGTCAAAAAGAAAGGGGAGGAAGGGGCACCAAGATTAGTATGTGACTTCAGAATCCTTAACAGTCAAATGAAGCCTCGCGTGTGCCCACTGCCACGTATAGATGACCTCTTAGAGAGAGTAAGGTCAGCCAAAGTCTTTACCAAGCTTGATCTACGAGGAGCATATAATCTGATAAGGGTCAGAGAAGGGGATGAGTGGAAAACCAGTTTTTGTACTAAGTATGGTGCATTTGAATTCTTGGTAATGCCTTTTGGCTTGCAAAATGGCTCAGGGGTATTTCAAACCTTCATCAATCACGTCTTAGCAGGTATACTGGATCAGTTCTGTGTCTCTTATTTAGATGACCTCTTAATATATAGTGAAAGTATGGAGGAACACGTAAAACATGTCACACAGGTGTTAGAGAGATTGAGGACCAACAGGTTATATGTGAAATTAGAGAAGTGTAAGTTCCACACACAAAAGGTGGAGTTCCTGGGATATTGCATTTCCCACAAAGGGTGCACATGGACCCCAGTAAAGTTCAGGCAGTGGTGGAATGGGAGGCACCTAAAACTAAGAAAGATCTACAGAGGTTTTAGGATTTGCTAATTTCTATCGTAAATTCATAGGTAATTACTCCAAAATCACAACGCCACTGACTGATAGTCATGCTGCCTTTAAAGTGTGGAGACATTTTTTGGAAGGGGCGTCACATCAGGTGGTGGTACAAACAGATCATAAGAATTTAGAGTATTGGAGAACTGCTAGACAGCTAAACCAAAGGCAAATTAGGTGGGCAGAGTTTGTGCTGGGTTTAATTTTAGGATTGAGTACATACCTGGGCATCAAAACGTTCGTGCAGACGCGCTATCGCGCAAACCTGAGTATATGGAAGGGGAAGCACCTCCCAAGTTGTGAGAAATGCTGAGATCAGATCAGTGGGGGTGTGCAGCCGTAGTAGTGGACGGCAGGGAATTCCAGCGATTGACAGTAACAGATGAGTTTGCACAAAAGAAAATGGAGGAACTGAGAAAAGGTAGAGGAGAAGAGGAAGGTTTCAAAGAAAAAGATGGATTGTTGTACAGGAGAGGGGTGCTGTATGTACCTGCAGGTGAATTAAGAGGTAAAGTGTTGAGGCAACATCATGATAACCCGACTGCAGGACATTTTGGTAGAGAAAAGACCCTGTATCAGATCACATGGCAGTTCTGGTGGCCAAAGTTGAGGGAGGAAGTAACACAATATGTAAGAGGTTGTGAAGTATGTCAACGAGCCAAGGCACCCAGAGCAGCTCCCGCAGGGTTGTTGCAACCTATGCCCACGCCGGGAAGGCCTTGGGATGTGGTGTCTATGGATTTTATAACAGATCTACCGTCATCGCATAGGCAAACAGTGATCTTTGTGGTGGTTGACATGCTAACTAAGATGGCACATTTCATACCATGTACCAAAATTCCGACCGCACAGGAAACTGCAAAGATGTTTTTAGATAATATTTTTAGGTTGCATGGAATGCCATCACAAATCATTTCAGATAGAGGGCCCCAATTTACATCACAATTTTGTTTTTGTTTTTTAAATGATATTTATTAAAGTTTCACATGAAAAGAGACTTACAAGAAAGCTGCAGACAGGCACCGGCGAGCTGGGGAAGAAATCCAAGTAGGGAGCTGGGTATGGCTGTCTACCAAGGGACTACCAATACGAGGGAGGTGTAAAAAGCTAGAACCAAGGAGATTGGGACCTTTCCAAGTAAAGGCTCAAATTAACCCAGTCGCTTTCAAGCTTCATTTGCCTGAAATATGAGAATACACCCTGTATTTCATAGATCTTTATTGTCAGTGTTTGTACCAGCGCATAAGTATCAAATTTCAAGGGAACCACCTCCTTTTCCCACCATGCTGGGGGAAGAGGAGACCGAAGTGGAAGAGATATTAGACTCGAGAATAAGTAGGAGGAAATTACAGTATTTGGTTGCATGGAAAGGGTTAGATGAGTCTGAGAACTCATGGGAACCAGCAGAAAAAATTAACGTTCCAGAATTGCAGAGAGAATTTCATAGAAAATATCCCCACAAGCCAAAACCCCATAACTGGCATCTTCAAGACATTTTTGAAGAGACAGATAGCGAGGAAGAGGAATTCATAGGGTTCGGTCCTTCAGAAACAGAGGAGAGCGAGGAGGAGGAAGGGGGGCTTAGGGGAGGGGGTGATGTCAGGGAAGAGTTAGAGGTTTCCAGTTTCTCAGAGGGAGAAAGCATTCCCCAAGGGGGGAAGGAGAGCAGTGAATATAACAGAAGAGAGCAAGAGGAACAACAGGGAGGGACCGGCTGTTCACAGGGAAGGCAAGGGTTCAGTTCTA